GGCCAGCGGTGATCACGACAGCCGGGTGCTAAGGTGGATTGAGGTTCAGCCTCGCTAGTGTGCGGCTACCGCACCCGTTGCTGAGCTCAGAGAGATACCGGAAAGGGCAGCGCTCAATTTCGAAAGTTCCGTTTGTATTTGCGTTTGCATCGTTTGTATTTTCCCCTCAAGCACGAGTGCCATTTCACCCGCCATGCGTTCGAGTCTCTCATCTATCGACTCTAGCTCTTGCTCGACGACGGGAGGGTTAACGGCGACGGTGTCAAGCCTGGACGGTGTGCCGCCCCTGAGTACGTAGCTCGAGCCATCCTTAATCAGTGAATGTTCCCGGGACAGGTGACTAGTAGGCGCGTGTCCCGGAGTGCCTTGACGGAACGTAGTGCGGAGAGGGACTACACTGGCTTCCCGGGATGTATAGACTGCCGGAAGAGGGGTGCCCCGCCGCCCTTGAGTGTTCGCTAGGGTTGTGGTTCGCGCCCGGACTGTGTTCGTCGGCCACGGAGAATGGACGCGTGCGGACCCGGAGCGTGCCCGCACAGGAAAAGCACCGCCCTCCACTTCGACACTTGGCGAGGGGGCTTCAGTGGACATGCTCCTTCTTCTCAATTCAGCCTCTAGCACCATAGTTGGTGCCCTCGTCAGTCCTGCTTCAAAAGCCTCTTCGAACTTAGCGGATTCGGCTTTCTGTTTTTGGGATAAGGGAAAGTCCCGATACAACCACCCATTCTTTTTGTAGGCCTCTGGGAGAAGCTTCTCCAACAGATACCCACTACGAAATAGCTTCCTCAAATTTGTCATGTTTAGAACACAGTGTTCCCATGGCTCGTTATACGTCCATCTGAAACTCACCCAGCCAAAGTAGTAGTTCGACTCTGGTTTACCTTTTTTGATGTAGTTTTTCGCTCTTTTTTCCACATGGAAGCGATACAACCCTTCGTCACCGATCTCGCGTCCGGAATATTTCATCACTACCGACTCACCATGCGCAAGGAGGAATTCGAATTTCTGAAGGTCCTCTCGGGATTCCCATTCCCTCCACAGCTTCGGGGCAACATCATCTTTGGACGTGACTCTATATTTACCGGATTCCCAAAGGTCAGGGATTAGAAACTTCACTGTGCCCGGTTTGATCTTCCATTTGAATTCGGGTGGGCCTCCCTCCGCGGCTTCAAGATCTTGAGTATCACGAAGATCCTTATCCGCCTTTATGGTTTTGGGATTTCCTTTCACTGCCCCCAGTTAGGAAATACACAGGGACGGACACTGGCATGGAATTTCACTCACATAGTCGGGGATCCGGTGTCACGTCCTCTTCTCCATACTCTGACTGTCGTGGCTGTTCCGTCCCTGGTGGATGTCCGGGCTGCCGTGGCAGTGGTAGAGACCGTGTCCCTGACGGTTTGGCGTGCCCTGCAGTTTCTGGCAGCGGCAGTGACTGTAACCGGGGGGGCGTCTGCTCTCCTGGCTGTCCGGATGATGGCTTCGGGTCTAACTCCATTTGGTCCCCTTGGCCGTTTTGGTCCTCTAGCTTTACTCTCACTGTCTTTGGAGGACCGCCCCTTTCAAGTGCTTGTTCCATCGCCTCTGGACAGGTTAGTGAATGAAGGCGCGGAGAAGCTTCCTGCTGAGAACGTGACTGGACGACCCAGAACCACGTATAACCAACGTGGACTTACTGCTCATTACCCCGTCCGCCAAGACGATTGGTTTCTTATTTCCCTGGCGCTTTTGCACCTTCGACGGGCCTGGTGTGGAGGGCGACGAGGATGGCCCTTGGCCGAGTTCTGTGTCGGCTCTCGTCTGGCTACTAAGTGTGGGGGGCATCACACAGATAGGAAAAAGAGAAATGAAGGTTGACTTGCTCAGAATCTTCACACGGAGGGATACCCTATAGCCTATTTATAATCTCGAAATGAGGGCTTCAATTAGAAACGCGATAGAAATAATACTCACTTGACCAGCGAAGAAAACCGCTGCTTGACTGATTGTCGATGTTTCCTAAAAACAGCTTGGAACAAAATCCGAGGACGGCTCCCTCTTCTCTAGGAATGTGACTAAATAGCAAACTTAGAACATCACCTCGATTTTCCTTTCATATATTTAAAAAAAAAGTTGTGATGTATTCCTGCCGGCTCTCAATCGATATCATTTTATAATCAATCATATTGTGTGGGGTGTGTACTGTAGACGGTACGGGAGGACACGTCTCCGCTCAACGTGAGTTATAGACGGATTCGCACTAGAAGCTACGTACTAGTTAGTCGAGAAGCAATCATGAGAGCAGAAATCGGGGGGGATAAAAATCCTGTCGCGCGGGAAAAGAAAACAGGTATTGTAAAGAAAATATAGCAAAGGAGGAAAATAGACCGAGGTTTGTGGGGAGAGGACTTCAAAGGAAAGTATTTAGAGTCTGAAACTTTTAGAGAACGTGAATTTCAACGGCAAAATTGTTTTCCCTTAGTCTTATATCCGGTCACCTAGTCTACTATAATATACCTAAAAAAACATTCCACATATAGGCGCGTGACCTGATACTCTTCTAAACTACTACCATAGCTGTGTGGTAAGAGACACTATCGAGACATATCGATAGTGTAGAATGCCAAACCACAAGATCCGTCGTGGGGCAGTGGGAAGGACCGGCACACTGGCAAACTGGCAACGGGACATACTGATGCTTTAACATAATGATGTAAATAAATAGGTAGATCTTTTGAAAAGGAATGCGGAAACTACGAGTGTCCTACTATAAGAAGCTAGAAGCCAAAGACGCAATCTGGCGGAAGGAGATATTCCGAGTCTAGTGGTCTAAACAGCCACATATCTCTGCGTGATCAAAGGAGTAGAAAATTGACATTAGGTGGTCAATATTTTGTGAAACCACAACCCCCAGTTTCTACGGAGTTTCATAATGAACCTTTCATTCTTGAGGTAATTATAAGCGTAATTATTCTCAGTCTCTGGACGGTATAGTTTCTATTACGCACTCTGACTATGCACTTTGATCGAGGTCATCAAGGCAGCAATACTGCGGTGAGTGGAGCACACACACAAACACACACGCACACATAGACGAGATGGAGCCGGGATAGTTCATGACGTATCGCGATGGAGAAGTAGCCCCGACTCTGGTCATGAGAGTGGCTATAGATAGGTACATTCATCGGTGATACGAGGGCGAGGGCCACAGTGAAGTTGACGATTGGTGGCGCCGGGAATACCGCGTCCATTCACGACAACTACAACATTCACTTCTGGCAAGCCCAGAAACCGGATTCTCCACTTCTTCTACAAGATCTTTACTCAACGATACACGTCTAACTTGTGTGGCGCTCGACGGAGGCATCGCCTATATAGAGACCTCCAAAGGCGAAATTCTGGTTCTGAAATGGGAACTAGCTGTTACCCTGAAGCAGCCAAGGTCGCGGGAAGGTTCGGAATGGGGCCTGACATTGTCCCTCTGTCAGGGGAACGGGATCGTCTCCGTGGATACTAGGGATGACTACCTGATCGCTGGCAGTATGAACCCACTCTTCATCATCAAGCCACTGCTTCCCGAGCAACCTTCGAGGAGGGAGGTAGCGTGGGTCACCCTCTCACTCTTTCCTCGAGAGGCATCTATCCGGGTTGTTCGCGTCGTCGAGCGTGGCTGTTGCCGGTGGCTTCTGGTGGTCGCACATGATCCGAGACTGCAGAAGCTTTATATTATGACGAGTCCTTGGGAAGAGAGAGACGCACTAAACCGTTATTGGAGCCATCCCTTTCTCCATCTATTCGTACTCAGATGACGACCGACAAAGATCCGATGAGTGCAAAAATCATTATCGCGTACTGGACGACGTCGTCAGCACACAGATGGTCATCTATCAAGGCACGATCCTATTCCTGTGTGGTTGACTGCTCGAATGACGTCCACGGGGTCCACGACGTCCTCACAGGGCGGACCACGGCAGTAACAGAGCTCGACTCTTTGAGGTAAGAGAGAATGGACCCTTGACACTAGAGGTTGAAAGCTGACCACAGCCAGTCTACGGAGGGTAGGGGAAATGTTTTCCTAGCTAAAGCCGAGAGCGAAACACCGCGGCGGATACGAAACGCAAACCTTGTAGATATCCCGCTGAGCCTTATTCACGCAATGAGTAATCTACGTTATCTTTGCTAGACGGGTGACACTCAAACGGCTTTACCTGAGTTATTATAGCTGGAGCAGCTCAGACTGAAGATCTACCGGCTACGCTCTACACTTGAAGGGTTTCCTTCTTGGATATTAAAGTCGAAGTATCCGAAGCTAACGTACGCCCATATTGAATACATAAATCCCACTGATCCTGCGAGTATCGGCGATGGTTACGGCCCAGAGGATATAGACGACGATTACAGCAGTTGGAACGACCCCTCCCTGCTCCTCCAAGACTTAGATATACCGCTTCGGACCCTGTATGTTGTTAATGCCCATTTCAGCTTGTACGCTCTTGACAACCTGGATGTATTACAGTCTGTGGAAGAGCTCTACATAGGATTTAGCCCAGGTACGACGGAGACGCAGGGAGACCGCGAGGAGTTCCTAAAGCTCAAATATCTTGGCACCATAAGGGATGATGAGATGGAGGAGCCCTCTTTCCTCACTCTACTCCCCAGAACGGCACGGGGTTCAATTATAACGAGGAGTCAAGTCCCAAGGGGGGAAACGAGAGAAGGGTCGGGGGATACGTTAGGGCGCGTGTTTCCCTCCCTTTTAAACTAGGAGTGAGGGAGGTAGAGACATGGAGGTGTACTTGGTAATTATATTCCGGATCGAGAAGTGTAAGTCGATGTTAACTACTCCTAGGAGATCAACCAAGCACCAAGGAAGCTATAATATCTCCCATCTGACTGGTGAAACAGTGAAACCATTGTGTGAGCTATGAGATGTAGTCAATCTAGGCGGATAGTACCCTGCAGAAGGAGGGGGGGGGCGGGCGGGATAAAATTCCAAGAACAGGAACCGCCACGTTGCGGGAGCATACTTCACACCGCTCCCCTCCTCCATCACTCGTCAGGTCAGTTCTCGGGGTGTGCGTGGTTTGGGCAGGATGTTGTAGCTATCAGCTGCCGTGGTGATAAGTTGAGAGAATGCTACCTCGATAGCGTAGGTAATGTAAGGCGCCTGCGTGCCTTATCACGACAACTTAGGCTAAATAATAAGTTGTGGCGCCTTTTTTCTATCCTCTTTGGCCCCGAGCTCGTGCGGTCAGTGCTGCTAAGTCTCCCGTGTCGACTGCACCAAGGTGGAGCAAAGAGTAAACTAGCCCCAAATAATGTGGTTGAGAAACATATTCTCCCCTCGAAGACTGACAATGTGATCTCGAAGATCGAGAGGTGACAGGTCCGCCGGAGGTGTGCCTAGGAGGTGTCGAGCTAGGCTTCCTAGAGACGCAAAGATAACCACTGTCGCCATTATCTGACTGACGATGACTTCAGAAACGCTATGAGTTACTACTATGCTACCTGGATTGAAGGGTTCTATACCGTAAGATGGTCGCAAATCATTAGGCTGTGTCCAAGCAGGCACGAGCTAATCACACGGATATCCGACCGCGAACGAGGTTGGCCATACCATGATCCTCCGTGCTTGGCCACTATACGAAAGCTCCATCTACATAAACCTTATTGCCCTTCAAGCCGTTCACGAACCACGGACTGCGGCTGCCTTGCTGATTGACGACTGGTCATTGCTTCCAGAGGACACACTAGTGTAGTGCCTCATTCCGAGGAGTCTTTCTGGACGGCGTTCATCGGCGCCCCTAGGTATTACTACCTCGAACCGGAGCAAATTTGATCGTGACGCCAGGGATTGGGGGAATCGTCAAAGGGAGGGAAGTGTGGAGGAAAATTTAGTGTGGGAATCACGGAGCCCGCCAAAGAAGATATCGGCGCTACGGTCGTCGTCGAGGCATTGCCGTCGACCGTGTTTGGTTGTCCTTCGCTCTCCGAAGCGTCCTCCCACCGATACACGTTCACGGAGTTGATCAACCAGTATGCATCGGCAAATGCGGTTGGATTCTGCTGCACGTAAGTTTGGCAGTTAGCCGCTTTTCCCGAGCAAATAGGATCCGTGCTCCATGTGCTATTAGCCCAGTCCCCGCAGAAGGTGGTGTCAATCACCTAGCGATGTGTCAGTATAACCAAGAGTTTTTCAACTGCTGTATCGCACAACTTTGGTACGATATCGGATGGGACAATGTACAATTTGTTGGTCGCTAAACGCCGAATCGAACGCGCACTCCCCCGAATATGCGGCTAGCGGAGTCGGCCATCCCGAAGGATCTGGCGAACCCCCGATGATGTCTGGAGGGATCGAACCGCGAGAAAATGACCAGATGCGTATGCCGGATTGGGTCCACTCCATGGCGTAGACTCCCCCTGAGGCGACGTTCAACGAGTCCCCGTAAGTCCCAGAGGTGGACGCGTTGATCGAACAACCGTGGTTACCGGGTCCGACGGTACAGTCGGCATAGACCAGAGTCCCTGTGAAGGATCCGTCTGCGCGGACCGAACAGGCCAACCCCGTGTGAAGGGTCATCAAGTTGGTGCTCTGCG